GGAAGAAACCTCCGGCAGAACCAGGCTCAGGGAGGGGCGGGGCCATCTGCTGCGACCGGTTGGGGTGAGAGAAGGAAGACAAGATAAAAGACATGCTGTGAAAGAGAGACAGAGATTAATAACAGATATGATTCAATGCAGAGAGGTCTGTTAATACATAGTGAGTGAAGAAGAACCACCTCCACAGGACAAGACTCAGCAGTCCATCTGCATCTTAAGGATAAAGGACACTCTTTCGAGGATGCCAATGTTCACATTTTGGACAGAGAGGACAGATGGTTTGAAAGAGGAGTGAAAGAAGCCATCTATGTCCACTGTGAGCGACCATCTTTGAACAGAGGCGGGGGTGATATAAGTGATGAAGCGTTGACTAAATTGCTAATGTTGTTTAATAAGGTCTGGAAAGTAGGGCGTCTCCCACATCGATAGAAAGAAGCGCTAATTATACCAATAAAGAAACCAGGGAAAGACCACAGTGATCCTGGAAATTATAGGCCCATTGCTCTGACTTCCAATATGTGTAAACCAATAGAAAGGATGGTGAATGAGAGATTGGTACAATTTTTAGAGTCAAGAAATATATTAGCACTCTATCAGAGTGGTTTTCGTAGAGGAAGAGGGATGATGGATCCTGTCTTATGTTTGGAAGATGATATCAGGAAAGCGCAAGTTAATAAAGAGGTGGTAGTTGCTGTCTTCTTTGATCTAAAAAAGGCATATGATATGCTTTGGAGAGAGGGTCTACTGATTAAGTTACATGAAGCGGGGATAGGAGGAAGTATGTTTAATTGGGTATTGGACTTTTTATGTGACAGAACAATTCAAGTTAAAATAGGGTCACATGTTTCTGAGCCGTGTGGAACAGAAAATGGAAAATGAAAATGGAACTCCTCAGGGAAGTGTGGTTAGCCCAACGGTTTTCTCACTTATGATCAATGATATTTTTAAAGGTGTGTCTGATAGTTGTGGTAAATCACTTTTTGCTGACGATGGAGCGTTATTGGTGAGGGAGATGAATGTTGACCATCTTGTCAAGAATCTTCAAGAGGGGATAGGTAAAGTA